CGAGCAGCAGATCGTGAGTAATCAGTTGCGGGCAGTGAGTTGTGAGTAGTAAGCTGTGCGTACTCAATAGTGAGTCGTGGATAGTGGTAACTTGGTAGCGAGTAGTGCTGAGTGAGTAGTGAGTAGTTGGCAGTGGGTGGTGCTCAGTGAGTACTGAGTATTGAGTACTGGGTAGTGAGTAGTGAGTAGGGAGTAGTGAGTAGGGAGTAGTGAGTAGTGAGTAGTGGGAGCGCAGTGAGTAGTGAGTAGTGTGTAGTGAATAGTGCGTATTGGGTAGCGAGTAGGGTGTAGGGGGTAGCGAGTGAGTTGGGAATAGTGAGTACTGTGCACGGAGTAGGGAGTAGCGAGTAGCGAGTAGTGGAACAGAGTAGTGAGTTGTGGGCAGTGAGCAGTGAGTAGGGAAGTGTGAGTAGTGAGTAGTGGATAGTGGCTGTTGTTGTTGAGTAGTGATTTGTGATTCGTGAGTAGTGGGAAGTGAGTTGTTTTGAGTGTGTGGTGAGTTTTGCGTAGTGAGTAGTGGGTAGTTAGTAATGAGCAGTGAGTAGTGAGTATTGGTAGGGGGTATGGAGTAGTGAGTAGTGGTTAGTAGTTAGTGGGTAGTGGGTATTGCATAGTGAGTCGTGAGTACTGAGTAGTGAGTAGTGATTTCGTGAGTAGCGAGTACTGGGTAGTGGGTCATGAGAAGTGCGTACTGAGTAATGAAACCTGTTTGGGGCTAGGTCTCGGGTTTGGGGTTCGGGTTCGGGGTTTGGGTTTGGGTGAGGATTAGTGTTAGGGGTGGCAGGGGTCGGGTTTCGAAACTCAGGGCGCCGTGGCGAAAAAGCGAGGGGAAAGGGAGTAGTTTTTGATTTTGGCGGCCAAGGGGGGGGGAGGGGGGGTCGGAACCCCTCCCCACCCCTTTTTGAAAAAGAGTGGAGTTGGGAGGGCGGGTCCCGACAACGGATCGGGAAAGTGGGCGGGAGAGGGGGGGGTCCCCGACGACGGATCGGGGAGGGGGGGGGAGAGGGGGGGGGTCCCCGACGACGGATCGGGGAAGGGGGGGATGGGTTCCGCCCCCCCCCCTCTGGCGGATCCAGCGGGGCGCCCTCGAGCTCAGCCTTGGCCTGGCAGCCACCTGTGGGCCCCTTGGATTCACAGATGGCTTGGCAAGGCCTTGCGCTCGGAGGTTGGATCCCGGACGTGGCCCTGAGACAAAATTATTGCAAATGATCCTCATCGTCGTCCTCACTGTCCTCCCCCAATTGTCTTTTTTGCTTCGTCCTTGGGCAGGAGACTTTGAGAGGATTTTCGGGCGGAGGTGGTCGTGTTCTGCGGTTTCTGGCGGATTTCGGGAGCTGTCGGAGGCCTCCAGGGTGCTCGGTCGTCCTGAGTTGTTCTGGGGGGGGGGCCATGGAGAGTTGTCAAGTACATCCGATGGGTTGATTTTTGAATCCGCGGGCCCCAGAGGTCTCGACCCTTCCTCCGTATGTGTGTGTGGCCCAGATCCATGTTTGACTTCCGCGGGGTCCAAGCGTGGCCCCCAGATGCCGCGGCATGAGGAGAAGCACCTGGATTGAAGCTTCCATCCGCGGGGGAGGAGGAGGATGAGGAGGAGGAGGAGGAGGAGGAGGAGGAGGAGGAGGAGCAGGAGGAGGAGGAGGAGGAGAAGGAGGAGGAGGAGGAGGAGAAGGGGGAGGGGGAGGACGAAAGCTAGGTGCGCTCGCGTCATATCTGACATCCGACCCCTCCCTCCCAGCCCTTACCATGACGTAGATCCCCTCTCTACTCCTCGCACAGTCGGATGTTGAGCAGGGAACTGACCCCGAAAGGGTACTTGATGCATTGTAGAGCACGGCATGGCATGGCGTAGAGGAGCACCGCAAAGCGTAGTATGTCACAGCATGGCGTGGCGTGGCGTAGCAACGCAAAGCATGGCATCGCACAGCGGTCCCGAACATAACAACATTGCATAGCATGGCATTGAATATCAAAGCGTAGCATGGCATAGCATGACGTGGCTATTACGCACTGGACATGACAGCTGCAGCTGAAGGCATGGCATCGCGCAGCGGAACGCAACCTAGCATTGCATTGCATGCCGTGGCATGGCACGGGAAATGACGCCAGCGCTGCAGCGGGAGCACGATTCGGAACGAGCGGAAGCGCGGAAATGAGGCCAGCGCTGCAGCGGGAGCACGACTCGGAACGAGCGGAAGCTCGAAAATGAAGCCCGCGCCCCAGCGAGAGCATCATTTTGAAAAACAATTAAGCGAAAACCCATTTCCGGGAAATCCGGTGTGTAAAAACACCGTACGCGGAGGGGTGCCCGCTATCTTCCGCACGCCATCAGGGGATGGAGGAGACTAGTATTCCTATTGTGTAATTGTAGAAGGAGAAGGAGGAGGATGAGGATGAGGAGGAGGAGGAAAAGGAGGAGAAGCAGGAGGAGGAGACAGAGGGGGAGGAGGAGAAGGGGAAGGAGGAGGAGGAGGAGGAGGAAGAACAGGTGAAGGAGGAGGAGGAGAGAGGAGGAGAGGAGAAGCAGGAGGAGAAGGAAGAAAAGAGGGAGGAGGAGGAGAGGAAGAGGAGGAGGAGGAGGAGGAGCGAGAGGAGGAGGAGGAGGAGGAGGAGAAGGAGGAGGAGGGAAGGTGGGGGAGGGAAGGTGGAGGAGGGAAGTTGGAGGAGGAGGGAAGGAGGAGGAGGAGGAGGAGGAGGAGGAGGAGGAGGAGGAGGAGGGGGAGGGGGAGGAGGAGGGGGGTCCTGGGAGCGGCCCAGCCCGGCGAGGAGCCGCACGCAGCGGCGGCGGGAGCAGCGCCGCGCCGCCGTGATCAAGAAGATGCGCGGCCTGGCGGCAGAGGAGCAGGGCCAGAGCCCGGAGGATCCACAGCGGGAGCTCAGGCAATTACCAGTTTGGAAACATGTCCCTATCCCCATGTTTGACATCGCCTTATATCGATGCCGATCTCAAGGATTCTCTGTGTTTTCGAGGGTGCATCCCGAAGACTGTCATCGCCTTTGGGCCCGTCAGTCTTAAGATCGGGATAGGGGTTAGGCAGACTCGCGCTGCCTTCGCCCACTTATCCAAGCGCTTGCCCCTCCTCCCACGTTGGGGCTCTCCCCAGTGGCAGAGTCAGAGGATCGGGGCAGGGGCCGGGAGGATCCACGGCGGGAGCGCGGGCAGACGCGCGCCGCCTTCGCCAGGTCATCCATCAAACAAGAAACAACGCCGTAAACAGAAACTTTTGGCGCTCCGCGCGGATTTCTTGGATCCGCGCTGGGCCCCCTCGGCGGCGCCTCCGGCGCCGCCCCTGGCGCGCTCCGCGCGCCAGGGAGGGGGGTCTAGCGCGGATCCAAGAAATCCGCGCGGACTGCCAAACGTTTATGCTTGTCCCATATATACATATGTATATGTATACACCGATCTATCGACATTTATATATATATATATATATATATATATACATGACTATTTCGCCCGCTCATGCAAGCGCTTGCCCCTTCCACTGTGGGCCCCTCACCAGGGTCTGAGTCTTTGTGGGGTACCAGTGCAGCCATCGGGGTGGTACATGCAGTCTGCATGCGCGTGTAAATCAACGGGGGGCACCTGCAGTCCAGGGAGGTTGGCCTGGTGGGTTGGGCTTGGCGGCCCGAGGGGTGGAAGTACTTGCAGTCTGGACAGAACTCGAGACGGAGCTTCGGCCAGACATCCATCGTCTTGGCAGAACTCATGACTCAAGACGGAACTCCTTCGCCTCGAAAAGAATGGGGCAGGTGGCAATGGGGGGTGATGTAAATGGGGGGAGCTGGGGGGTGAAGAAAAGGGCTCCCCTTAGGGCCCTTTTCTGCACCCCCCACTCAGGCCACCCCCTATCATCACCCGCTCGAAGAGACACCTAAGACACCCTCGGGCGGGGCTAGGACGAGGATCCATCCTCTCCAGACCGTTGCGGAACGCTCTCAGAGTGTTCCAGAACGCTCTGAGGAGGCCGCGGCGCCCGAGACATCCTGCAAAGCGGCCGGCTCTCAGAGTTTTCCGATTTATACCCGCCCGATCTTGTCCTCGTCCTGGCCTCGCCGTCTGGCGCCAGACTGGATGGGGGTAGGGTGCTCTCGGCTCCTTGCTGTGACCGCTGGCCCTCAGTTTCACTTCCTTGTCCTCTTCCCGCCGTCCCTCCCTCTTCCTTTTAATATGCCATACCCATCGGTCGCTGGAAGAAGGTATTTTTGGATTCCCAGATTCCAATCTATTTTTAGCGCCTTCCTGCTTCAATTATCGAGAGGCTTCACCTTTTCCGTCCTCCTTAGGGGCCGGACGGAACCCAATCATCGACGCCTCATCACGAGCACCTTATGAGGCTTGGCACGCTGGTAAAGAAAGAAAGATTGCCTTCCTACCTCATGCTTCTACCTACTTTTTCCGACCGATGGGCATTCCAGATCATTCAATAAGCCTCCCCCCCCCTGTGCCAACCTGTCCGACGCCCCTTGCCCGCCCCCCCCACGCGCCCCAACCCCACCCCCTCCCGCTCCCCCACCTCCCCGCGCCCCCCGAAGGACAGCCCCACGCGATCCACCCACCCCACGCTCACTGAGAGACCTGGAGTACTCGCGCCCCTCCCCCATCCAGTCCTGGCCTCGCCTACAGTCGGGGCCCTGAAAAAGGAACCCTTTTCGTTGGGGAGGGGCTCCGCGTTCCTTGAGTGTTTCGCAGCTCGCCTCAGGTGTTCCTTCTGTTTTCGATCGGAAGTCGAAGTGTAACTTATGGGAGAAAGGGGCCTCGTTCCTTATTTAGGGTTCCTTAGGCCAACGCCCCGACTGTACACGCGCCCCTCCCCCATCCGGTCCTGGCCTCGCCTCGCACGCCCAGCGCTCCCGCGCCGCGGCCCGCACGGCGCCCGCCCCCAGCAGGCCCGAGGCGGAGGGCGCAGGGCGGCCGGGCGAGGCGGAGCCGCACGGGCTCCGGGCCGCCGCCGCCGTCGAGGGCCTGGACAGGCGGGGGTCCTCTGCGGGGCTCGCTTCGATTCCTCGGGTTCGTCTCGATTCGGCGATTCGATGCGATTCCAACTGCGATTCGTTCCAATTCCGATTCGACGTTCCGGGGATTCGTTCCAATGCCGATTCGGTGCGTTTTCGGACTCCGATGTGGATTCCGACGTGATTTCTCCATGAGGCCTTACTATGCTCTGCCGATGTCAGCCGATTCGGCTCCTCCCGACTCGGCTGCCGATTTTCGCCGGTTCGATTCATTTCGATCGCCGATTCGACTTATCGATTCGATTCTGGGCTCTCCTGCCTCTTTCGGCGACGAGCGAGGGGGCGAAACGAGAAGGGGCGGGCCTTCTCAGAAGGCTCGGAAGTGCCCCCGCCTGCTGAGGAGTTTTCTAGAAGCCTTTCCCGAAGACGCAAGAAGGCCTCTCAAAAGGCGCGTCAGGGCTTCTGAGAAGTCCCAGTTGCAGGCGATTGTGGAGGCCTTATGGCCAGGGCCGCCGACCCAGAAGGACCACGACGACGACGACCACGACGACGACCACGACGACGACAAGACTCCTGCGCCGCCGACGCCCTGGAGAGGCGGGGTCCCTTTGTGAGAGTGACTGGCCGCAGGCCACCGTGAAGGCCTCGTGGCCAGGGTCACCGACCCAGAATGAGGCGGGGTCCCCTTGGAAGTGACTGGTCGCAGGCGATTGTTGTCCTCCCGGTCCGCGATTTCCGCCGGAAAGTGTGGCAAAGGGTAGCCGCTCAGAGCAAGGGGGAAACTCTGGGATTCCCCCCAAGGTGTCCATTCGGACGCAGACGCAGCTCTGTCGTGGATGGACGCCCCCCGATGGTATATCCCAGGGTTGGGCCCTACATTTCTGGTCCATTCGAAGACCCCATGAAGCCTGGGACAGGGGTCGACACCTCCTGTCAACCGGTCTAGCCTGCCACCAGACGGGGCTTCCCGATTTGCTTTGTGCCTGCTTTGCGCCCTATCTTCAGAGCAGGAAGAGGTATCGAGGAAAAGGTGCCGATACCGCTGCCCTTCCCTCGTTTTTCCTTTTGGGGCCTCCTGGGATGCCCTCGTCGCCATCGCTGGATTCGCTTCGAAATCCTGCTCAGAAGGCGCCCCGGGAAAGGCCCTAGGAGTAGCGGCATCGATACCTTGCTTCGTGCTTGATTCGTGCTCGCGTGGCGGGAGTTTGCCACGAGAGCGAGCTGGATTTCTCATCGTCGCAGGCCTAGAGATTGACACCACCACCAATATCGGCGATGTGCATCCACCGAGGGAGGAAGATCCCGATTTCGGTGATGGTGGTAATATTCTGGCTCCCAAAGTGGCCGAAATATTGCCACCAGCACCGAAATCGAGGATCGTCTTCCCCCTGTGGAGGCAACCCCTTGTGTTGGTGTTGGTGCCCATATCTAGGCCTCCCACATCGGGGGTTCCTTCTTTCCCTGGTGCTCCAGCGCTTCCAGCGCCGCACCCGCAGCAGCCCAGAGGATGCCCACGTGAGGGCGTGTGCTTCGCGCTTCGTGCGCGCGGCGTCTCCTCCTGCTCCTGCGTGCCGGGTGCGACGGCTTCCGCAGTCGTGGCGGGCTCCGCCCTCCTGGGTTTTCCGAGTTCCTCACCGGTTCTCGGACAGAGCAAAGCACGGAATAAGCAGGACAACAATTCAGCTTCAGGGGATTACGCTTAACGGTTTACGCATCCCCTGGAGGGGATGCGGATTACGCTTCACGGTTTAAAAATGTTGTCTGCGTTTGTCTGTCAAGGGGGGCAGGTTCTGTCCGCCATGGCCGACGCGTGAGGCAGGCAACGTGGTTGAATCAATCGGCGTCGCGATGGGGGAAACAAAAGAAGTTCCTCATCGGTTCTCGGAGGGGTCCCCACCTCGGGACGCTCTCCAGCAGCTGCGTCTGGCCGAGAGCGTTCCCGGGTGCCCGAATCATCTCGGATCTCGAACGGCCTCCAGGGGGCGAGGTATGGCACGAAGGCCACCTGGAACCCAGACCCCCTCCCGGGGTCAATCTCAATCTGATCTGTTCGATCTCAAACCGAGTGCGGCTGGCCCGATCCGATGCAGTTCCGATGTTCCGAAGACCCAGTGCGGCCCGATGCTCGCATGCAATGCTTGCTGTGCGTCTTGGCGCGGCGGTTTCACATTCGATTCTGGTTTCGTTCCAGTGCGTCTCGACTCAACGCACGCATTCCAATCTGATTCGATGTGTCGATTCGATGCTGATCGCAGTGGTTGGAGGCGACAGCAACAGCGCGGCGCTTCCAGCTCCGCAGCGAGGGCGGGCCTGGAGGCAGAGGACTCACCAGGGACAAACCTTTTCCACCCGACAGCACAGTTTTGTTGCGAAATGGGCCCCTGGAGATCTTGTGCTTTTCCAGCGGACCAGCTTTGCAACCGAAGTAGTTTGTTGACGGCCCCAGGGCCGGGAAGCGGCCTGTGACTGCAGGCCGAACATGCAAAACAAGACGCGATTTTCTTGCGACGCCAGTTTCTGCAATTATAGCACATGTAGATATATAGATATACTATCTCTCGGCCCATCCTGCCCCGTGCCTGGGTAGTGGGTCAGAGTCGCCAGGCATGATCTTGAGTTGTCTTCGGAGGACTCTCAGGGACCTCCGTCGGGAGAATTTGGAGCCTCGGAGGGCCCTCTCTTGGCGCGTTCGTGGGGTCGAATCGCGCGTTCCATGCCTGCGTCGTGGGCCATAATCGTCGTGTATGTACTTGGGAATTTGGTCCCTCCGCGGCTGTCGTTGGCGTGCTTCTGGGATTGTTCGGTAGTCGTCTTGAAGCTTCTTGGTGGATTCATGGGTGCTTCTTGGGATCTCTTGGGAGGTTCCTGGAAGCTTTCAGGGAGGTTCTGGGGGCTTCGTGGGGCGGAGAGGGTTCGTGCTCTCCCTCTGGGACCTCTCCTGGGGCGTTCGTTGGGTCTCTTGGACTGACTTGGGGACCTCTTGCGCCGTCTGGACACCCTCTTTGGGGCCTATTGGGCCGTCTTGGAGCCATCTTGGGGGCCTCTTGGCCTGTTTTGGAGCGTCGGGAACCCGAAAAGGCAGAAACGCCAAACATATTTGAACACATGAATATAATTTTTTGTTTGTCTCTACGAACCTTCGTCGGGGTGCTGCTGGAGGCATGTTGGGACGTCTTGGAGGCGTCTGGGGCCGTCTGGAGGCCATTGACCGCGTTTTTGAGCGATGCTTCGGCGAGTCGGGGCTCTCTTGGAATGTTTTAGGCGGACACAGCGTCCAAAGGAGCCCAAGGAAACATCCCAGAATTCACGGGGGCCGCGCCAGGACGCCCGAGATGTGGTCGCCCTCCCCCCCCTCCTCTCCCTTGACGTCGCCTATCCTTTTGTCGTGGCATGAGCTCCCAGGGACCTCGCTCGACCCACCAGGCACAGAAACGAACGACATCCTGCTCCCCTCCCAGATCCCCGACGCCCTGATTTCTGCCACGCCGAACGAAGAAGCCGCCCAGTACTTCTTAGGCAACGTCTGGATCCGAGAGACGTGCGCGCCGCCCGTCTGCTCCTCGCCCCCTTTCTGCCCACTGAGCATCTGCTACTGCCCCTCCCCGGGGAGTCCCGAGCGGCGAGCGTATCCATGTCCGCTCCCCTGCGGTCTGGATACCTGGGCGCGACCCCGTGGAGGCGCGGTCGCATGAACACGTTTGCCCGAGGCATCTGCGACACAAATGCCCGTATCACTGGGCTCGCAGCCCAGGAGGAGGAGGAGGAGGAGGAGGAGGAGGAGGAGGAGGAGGAGGAGGAGGAGGAGGAGGAGACGGAGGAGGAGGACGAGGAGGAGGAGGAGGAGGAGGAGGAGGAGGAGGAGGGGGGCCTGACCCGCGAGGCCGTGGATGAATGGTTTGGATCTTCTCAGGGGCCGCCTGCCTTCACCCGTCTCGGTGTTTGCTGGAACGAGGGGCGGCAGTGCCCAGAGCGGACGGCATCGCCGTGATGGCCCATGTGCCACTTGCTCGCCCATGGAGGCCCGTCCACGTGGAGCCAGGAGGGAGGAAGCATGCGCTCGGACCGAGGTACGAGATCGAGGTCGGTTCGGGGGGGGGGCTCCCTGATGCTCTCTTGAAGGATGTTCTCATGCCCTGGGTCTGGCCGTGTCGACATGTCACATGTCGTTCATTGCGTGACTATTCACTAATATCTTTATTTATTTATTTTTAATTATATATAATTGTTTGATTTTCGAATATATTTGGAAATCATTGCTTTCCTGCGCATCATCACAGCTCTCCGAGCCCCTCAAGACATGTGGTCTCTCCCGTCCACGGCCTCCCCCAGGAGGGCGTGCCCGGCAGCCCCTCGGAGCTCGCCCGGCTCCCGCAGCACGCGGCCGCGCTCCGTGCCGGCGCGCCGCTGGCCAGCAGCAAGCTCTCGCTCTGAGCGCCAGGCCCTTTTTCGGCTCGGCGGCTCGCAGACGGGGGGGCCCAGCAGTGCCGCGTACCCAGACCCCCTCGGGTAATGAAAAAATCATGACGGGAGGTTTTTCCTAATTTTCGGCTTTTGGAGGCCCTAACCGGCCCTCGGGTCCGTCAAAAAAACGACTCAGGATGAAAAACCAGTCCCGGGGAATGGGTCGAGATCTCTGGGGGTCGACGTCATGAAAAAATCATGACGTCGGGGGTCTGGGTATGTCGGCCACGCGCAGAGGGGGGGTAGGGGCATGGGGGAAGGTTTCTCAGAAGCACCCCTGCTCCTAAGAAGGCGCGGGCCCCATCTACAGATGCAAGGCCGGCGCCTTCTAAGAAGCAGGGGTGCTTCTAAGAAGTTTTCCCCCCCTCCCCCTACCCCACTCTGCGCGCAGCCAATGTGATCCGATTCGGTGCGATTCGATTCGCGAGCTGGGCCCGCGATTTCGGTTCGTTGCGGCTTGCCTCGGCGCGGCGATCCGACTTCGGTTCGATTCGCCTGCGATTCGCTGGCAGTCCGACCGTTTCCGATCCGATCCGAGTTCGCGATTTGATCCAGCCCAGGCCTGCTAGGGCCAGGGATCTCCGACGGTATGGTTTTTCCAATTCCTGCGTGTTTCTACATGGGGTCGGTCTTTTTCAGGGGCAACGCCAAGGAGGGATAGGCTCAGGTGGGGGCGCATCGAACCCCAACCGCCCATTCGTGCCCCTGTAGGGGCCTGATCGCTTTCGCCGCGCACGGGAACGGGCGGCGTCGTCATCGGAGGCTTATCGCCGATCTATCGGCGATGTATCGCCGATTCCAGGTCGATGTTCCCCCCCCCCCCACACCACTCCCCTGTGAGCCTGCCTCGTTCCCCCTCACTCTTTGGGTCCGTCACTGGGCCTGGGGACTATTAGAAATTGGTCGCGGACTAAGAAATACCTTGGGGAATGGGTCGTGACTTCATTGGGGCCACGCGTAAAACATGTCGCATGTTTGCAGACGGGCATGATTTCACCCTTCCCATATCTGCCCAGATCTCGCGTCGTTCATCTCGCGTCGAGATGTTTGGACGACTCGTGCAAACATCACGACGGAAGGTTTTTGGCGGTTCTCGGCTGCTGGGGGCCCTCGTCGGGCCCCGGGGCCGTAACAAAACAGCTCAGGATGACAAGCTAGCCCCAGGCTAGTGATTTAGAGGTTGACTCAGGAACGTGGGGAGTATGGGGGAAGCCAGATGTTCCCACTTCGTGTGCCTCCTGGGGGGGTCCTCGTGGCCAGGACTGGACGCTGGACGCAACTCGAGAAGCTGGCTAGGTTGGACCCTGGGACCTGGGCCACCTGGGATTGGTCTGGAGACCCGCTTGACCCGGACTCCCTGCTGGGCCGAGGGCGAGGAGGGCGGCGTTCTAAGATTGCACCCTTTGCCCCCAGAGGCCTTCTGGCCCTGACTGAGCCCCTACCCCTCCGCGCCGTAAGGAAGTCGCTGGCTTGGTCTGGCTTGCTGGAAGAGGCGGAGGAGAACATACCCCCTTCGCCGGTACCCAATCTCGCTGGTTTGGCTCTGCGGGCCCTCCCTGGGTCTCGTGACCGTCAGGAAAAAAAACACGGCTCAGGACGAGGGCCGGTCACGGGGAAGAGGTCCAGATCTCTGGGAGGCCACGATGCGTGAACAACACTGCGTTGGAGGTCCTGGGTTGTCGGGAGGAAGAGAGCGTATCAACGACGCGGTGCCGTTGGAAGTCCGCCGGCATCTCACTCCCTCGTTTTCGTCCGGAGACCGACGTCGTGCAGAACTTCAGCAGCAAGGCGCTGGTGGGATCCCCACCGCGGCGTGCCACTGGTACACCCTAGGCGATGCTTAAGAACACCTAAGTTTTCGTCCAGAGTCTCGATTATTCTTAACTTTTCGAGGTAAATCCCAAGATTTTGATAGAAGTTCTGGGTTTTATTCAAGTTCTGAGACTATGAGTTTCTAAACCCATGATTTCTTAAGCATTTCGCAGGGTGTATTGTCTTGTCCCCCCCCCCAGGGGATGGCCCCCAGGAGGCAGGGCGGGGCCCTTCCGAGAAGGGCCCCCCCGGGCCTCCTCTAAAACAGGGCTAGGATCGGGATAAATCGCTCCAGAGCGTTCCGGAGCGCTCTCAGAGCGTTCCGGAACGCTCTGGAGCGGCCGCGGCGCCCAATACACCCTCCAAACCCGCCGATTTCGAGTTATCCCGACCCGATGTTGTCCCGATCTTCGCGTCGTTTTACTCCTCAGAGGGCCGCCCCCTCGCCGTGGGACGCCCGATTCTTCGCGGTGCCGCCCACCAGTTAACGGGCGAAGAACCGTGTAAGATATTTTTTTTCGCTGTCGGGGGCGCCTGCCCCTGGGCGGCTGGAAAGTTTGTACTCTTGCTGTGCCACCGTAAAAAGTATAAACCTTCCAGCCGCCCAGGGACAGGCGCCCCCGACAGCGAAAAAGTTGTTTTTTACCGTTCTTCGCTCGCTGAGCCAGCGCCAGCGAGGGCCGTGCCCCCTCGTCCTCCCTCCACGGCGCCGACTTCGAGCAGCCCCCATTATAATGCTCCGCGCGCGGGGCGCCGCGCGCAGCGGCGGCGGCGTGCTCTCGGGAGTGCCGCGCGAGGGGGGCGGGACTCTGCGGCACGGAAGGGTGCCGCTGGCGCGGAGCCCGGATGCCGCTGCGCCGCCTCCCTCGAGTAGGGGGCCACATGTGAACCCTACCCCTACCCCCCACCCTCCCCCTCGGAAATCGTGGGGGGTAGGGATAGGATTCACATGTGGCCCCCTACTCGAGCGACCTCTGCCTCCCGCTTCTCCCCTGCAGGCTCGAGCGCTCCTCGAGCCACCAGCGCTGCTCCTGAGGCGCCAGGCCATGGGGCTGGGCCAGGGGGGCCTCTTGCTTTTTGCGCGGGATGCCCGAACACGGGGTCGTCTCGCCCCGCCTGATTGTTTTGCGAGGGGCAGGTCCGATGAGAGAGGGGTTCCGATGCCGTTGTGGCCGGATGTAGCGTTTTTTTTTACGCGGTGGCCAGATGTAGAGGCACAGCTGTAGCTGAGTCGTGCTCAGCTACCCAACACGCACTGCCGAGGCCAAAGAGAGGTGTAATGTTGCAGAACCCCCGCGTAGCAGACCATTCACAACTCCTATTGCGTTTCGCCGTGATCGTGACTATGTTTACAACCGCGGATCGCACACTGTTATTTCCTGCACTGTCGATGCGCGACCAATGTGATTCAACATTATTTGTGCAATATTTGTGGTGCAGTTCACGTATGTGGGGCGGACTATGTGGTGATATCTACCTAGCAGAACTTGAAGTCGGAGAGAACGCGTTTCACGGGCGCTTGCCTTGGGAACATTCGGCGGCGCGTTTCGAACCAGGGGGTGGGCCCCCCCCCCAACACTCGGCGCCGTCGATCAAAACCAAGGGGGACTCCCCTCCCCCCCAACCCCCTCCCTCCCGAACACCCCCGCCCCTCCCAAAGGAGGGGGTGGGGTTCTCCCCCCCTCCCCCCTCGCGCCGGCGCCAGCGCTGGCGGCGGCCAGCAGCGCCTGCGCTGGCGCCGGCGACGGCGGGGACGCAGCGACGATTACCACCACCCACCACCACCACCACCACCACCACCACCACCACCACCACCACCACCACCACCACCACCAACAGCACTACACAACCACCACCACCAGAGCCACCACCACCACAACCACCAATACAACTCACCATCACCACCACCACCACCACAAAAACCCACCACCACTACCAACAACATCACAATCTACCACACCACCACAACCGCCACCGCCACAACCACCACCACTACCAGCAGCACAACCCACCGCCACTACCACAAACCACCACATCACCACCACCACCGCCACCGCCACCACCACCGCCAGCACCACGTCCACAAACCACCGCCAGCACAACCCACCACCACCACCACAAACCACCACCACACCACCACCAAACCACCACAATCACCACCACCACAACTCACCCTTGCCACCACCACCACCACAAAAACCCACCACCAGTATCACCAACACCACAACCTACCACATCACCACCACCTTCACAACCACCACCACTACCAGCAGCACAACCAACCACCACCACAAACCACCACACCTCCACCACCACAGCCACCGCCACCACCACCACCAGCACCACCTCCACAAACCACCGCCACAACCACAACTCAGCACCACCGCCACAAACCACCACCACACCACCACCAAACCACCACCACCACAACCCACAACCACCACCAGCACCATCACAAACCACCACCACACCACCACCAAACCGCCACCACCACCACTACCCTCCGCCACAACCACCACCACCACAACAAACCACCACACCACCACCACCACAACTACCACCACCGCCACCACCCCCCTAACCCACTACCACCACCACCACCACAGTCGTCCTCGTCGACGCTTCCCACCATTGGCGCCAGCCCAGACATGGAAATCGTCGTCCCCGCCGCCGTCGCCAATCGCCGCCGACGCAAGCGCGGGCCCGAGGAGAGAGGAAGCACGGGAGGGAGTGGGGGGGGGTCGAACCCCCCCCCCTCCGTCACGGGAGGGGGGTGGGTGAAACTTCCCCCCCGTCCATCCAGGGGGGGGGGGGAGGGGGGATCCGGTTCCAAACCCCCCTCCTCCCTCCAAGCGACCACAGAAAGCGCTCTTTCTGAAGTCGTCATCTATACTGCTCGCGCAATCATGCCACCTCCACCCGCAGGTTGCTCCACGCAACCCATGCAGCCGCGAATTCGGTGATTATTGCTGCAGTGGCTGGCGCATGTTTGCGGCTCCGCCAGGGCGCGCAAGCTCCCGCGTAGAGCGGCCAGCTGGTTTGGCACAATCGACTCGGCTGCGATGGCGCTTGCCGATGGGCATTTCCCAACGCGTCCCAACGGCTGCGCTGGCGCGCGGGCACTTCCGTGCGGGACGATGATTCGGGCGGGCGTGGTATCATGGCGACGTTGGCATCGGCGGCAACGGAGATGATGACGATGCTGATGACGACGATGATGGTGATGGTGGTGATGGTGATGGTGGGTGCGATGGCTGTAGCAATAGCGACAATGACGGCGGCAGGGCGAGTGTTGGTGCCGATGCCAGTGGCGACGATGACGATCATGATGTCCATGTGTCGATGTTGAAGGTGCTAAACTTATGGCAGCGGCCGTGGTGGCGACTGGCGACGGCGATAGTGGCGGTGATGCGATGGCGCTGATGATGGTGGCGGGGAGGAAGTGCGCAAGTTAAGGAATTAATGCAATATGCCAGATTATGTGTTGGAAGACACTTGTCCCCCACCTGTTTCCGACAAGCTCTATCATGCAAAGCTTCGAGCGCCGATGGTGTTCACAAGGGTTCGGCGCGCGCGTAGCGGCGAGCGCGTGTGGCCCGCATTGTCTTTTTCTAATGCGGATGCGCGCGCTGGGCACATGCTCCATCGACGCGGGCGCACCGCGAGGTGAGATGGGAATTCGGTGCCAGGACAAGATTACCAGAATCATCTGTTTTCCAAGGACATCTGCAATAATGCGTGGGCAGAACATCAGTACATTTTGTTTTGCAAATGGCTGCTGGGGCAGAAACGGTCATCATGTTAAAATTATCAAAGTTAGGAACAGTTCAAGACCAATTCCTTTACGAAGTTCAAGCTCAAGGTCGTTGGAATTCGGAAATTCGGAAATAGTTCGGTCAAAGTTCTGTGGCGAGAAAAGAGTTTGCAACAAGGTCGGGACACACATCGAATGCATTCCGCGCTGACCGGAAAGTTTGAAACATGTTCGGGTGCTCAATCGGCGCTTGAGCTCTGCCTGTTTCGCGCGGCGTTTCGCGGCTGATTGTGCTCCATTCGGCCAAGGAGTGCATGGTCAAAGTTCGGTCGCCTCCATGACCTCTGATTTATAGCGCTGTCAGAATGCTGCGAGGGAGAGTACTGGTTTCCGACGGCGCACTTGAGCGTCGCGTGCAGATATCGTCCTCGTCGGTGCAGAAATCGCCTCGTTGTGGCCTGCCCTTTTCTCGGCTGAAACATGTCCCGCGAGTAGTTTTGTGTCGGGCGTGTCCCCCATACAGGGAGGTTTTCGACGAAAAGTGAAACATGCCCTAAACATACCCCGACAATGTCAACACATGCTCACAAACGAGTCTCCATACAATTTTTGTATTATTTTTTGAATGTCTTTGGTATTTTTATATTCGTCGAAAATCCCCCTGCGGGGGGACAGGCCCGACTTAAGCGTAGTTGGTGGTCGTGTCGATGGTTGTCAGGATGATGAGCAAACGTGCCATTTCTCCAGGCTTCGGTTCCCCAGTTGTCGCCTGGGTCGGTCTCATGGGCAACTCCGCATGGCCGGCGAAGTCCGGGCCTGCAACAATTGTTGCACGCATAAGTCGTATCCGGCTGGGGCAGGAGTGGACTGGGACTCGGCGTAGCTCGCGCTCGATTTTATATATGGGCAGGGCTTCGCGCGCGGCGCATTGGCAGGGCCACGTGGCCGTCGTGAAATCGCTGCGGCATTTCTCGCGCAACGCGCGCGCGGGCCTTCGTGGCCGCGTTGAGAAATGCGCGGTACTTCGCGTGAGGCGCGCGGGCGGGGCCCCGCGACGGCACCTTGCGCGCAACGCGCGGGGGCGATCCCGCGGCCGCGCCGAAGTATCTGCGACGCGCCGCGCGCGTCGCACGGATGGCCCCCCCACGACCGCGCGCGCCGGCTCTGCGCGCGCGCGGGCTTGCGCGGCCGCGCTGGAAGGCCCCCGCTCGTCGCGGCGAGCGCGCCAGCGGGATTTTCATGCGCGGCTGATCCATATTTGTTGGCAGACCCAAAGGAAATAACAACATAGCAGCGCGTCTTGCAGAACGCATTGGCGTGGCTGCGGCGCGCCAGAGGATCTGCGGCCCCTCTCGCGCAGCGCGCGGGCGGGGCCCCGCGGCCGCGCCGCGGGCCCGCAAGCCCTTGCGCGGCGATCGATGGGGCGGAGGGTGGGCGCGCGGCCGCGCCGCAGGGCGCGCGCGCGCCCCCGCGCGGCCTGTGGGCGGGGTTGGCCTCGCGCCCCCGCGGGAGACGCGCGGGCAGGACCCAGCGGCCGCCCCGACGCACTGGCGCGTACCCGCGCGCGGCGCGCGCGCGCGCGCGCGAACCGCGCCCCTTCCCGCCCCTTTGCAGCGGCTGGGCGCGCGGGAGGGGTCGCGGGGTTGCGCCGGAGATCCCGCGGCCGCCCGCGCGCCAAGCACGCGCAAGGTTTCGTGGCCAGGGCGGGGAGCCTGCGCGCTCCCCCCGCGGGCGACGCGCGGGCAGGGCCCCGCGGGTGCGCCGGTGCACTGGCGCGCGCGACCGCGCGCGCCCTCCCTCGCCCTGGCTCTTGCCCCGCCAGCCAGCACAGCCAACCCGCCAGCCAGAGCGCCCCCTCGGCGCCGGTCCCACCAGCCAGCGCACCCCCTCCGCCCCGACAGCTTGATTTTGGCACGGCGCCCGCCCCACCAGCCAACGCGCCCCCTCCGCCCCGACCGCGTTATTTCGGCACGGCACCCGGCCCTGGACCCAGTTTCCTCACCTGGCCCTGGCCCCAGACCCCCTCGCCCCGAACTCTTTATTTTCGTTTGTCGTCGTCACCTTGCTGCTGGCCCTCGACCCAGCCTTCGCCCTGGTCCTCGACCCAGCCCCCCTCGTGGTCGCCGCCCCGGTTTTGTCCTGGGACCCAGCGTCCTCCCCTGGCCCTGGTCCCAACCCCCCTCTCCTGGACCCTTCATTTTCGCTTGTCGTCGTGCCCCTGGCGTTGGCCCTGGACCCAGCCCCCCTCGCGCCGGACCCTTTATTCTCGTTCGTCGTCGTCCCCCTGGTCGTGGCCCTGGAGTCAGCCTCCCTCCCTGACCTGGCCCCAGCCGCCCTCGCCCCCCTGGTCCTGGCACTGGACCCAGCCTACCCCCTCTGGTCGTTGCCCCAGCCCCCCTCGCCCCGCTGGCCCTGTCCGTGGACCCAGCCTCCCCACTTGGCCCAGCCTCGATAAATCTATCGCGCCTCAGCTGCCAACAACAAATCATTCGAGCAGGTCCCAATCGACAACCGCTGATT